CAGCTCAGCAGAGGCGTTGTAATGAGCAGTTCATTTGGTTCAGATGTATTGGAGATGGGATGCATCTGAAAGTTGCAAGATGATGGCTCTCCAGAACTGGACTTGGGTACCTCTGATCTAGCAGGTCGCTGAAATGTAATATCCCTTATGAAGTTTCAAAAGATTTTTGAAGCATGTTTAATGCATAATATTTTGTGAAAAACCTGTAAGTGTGTGATGCTTTCACAATAAAATTTAAAATGTTCCATTTGTGTAGATTTATTATTTTAACCAAGTGGAATTTCTGAGTAGCATGAAGGTATTTTACTCCTATTTTAAAAACTAAAATAACGTGCTAAAAAAACTTTTAAAATGATTTAAATGCAAGCTATATTTTAAGTTAAATGTGAGTGATAATTTAATTTGGGGTAGTTTAGTTTTTTAAGTTGGAACAACTTAAACTTTTGAGTTGACTTTCTATAAAATTAAGTAAGATGGATTTAAATTTTTTATTTGGAATAAAGTAAATGAATTGATTAAGACTGACTTAAATTTGTCAAGTTAACCAAACTTAATAAATTAGGTTGGATAAAATTAATTGAATTACTTGTTACCAATTGAAGCAATTCAATTAAGTTGGATCAACTATTTTCTTTGTAGAGTGTACCTGGAAGAGAGTGAGTGATGCTCTATGAGGGTGGTGTGGTGTAGGGAGGGGGGTGTAGGGACGGGGAGCGTTGGGCCAGTGTGTTGTCTTGTATGCATGAGTGTGGATGTGTTGTTTGTCTTGTCTTTGTTTTTTCTTTACAGGTCTTGGTGAATGTCCCTGGGATGAGCGTGAGGGGATTGGACATGTATAAGCTTCGGCTTCTTCCATCCCCTTTTCAAGCCATGCATATGTATTGTTTGTCACTATGTATGTTCTGAAATGTGTGCAGGTTTGAAATAAACTTTTTTTAGTTGAATTGAATTGAAGAATGGACATTTTCTCATCCTGTTTCCCTTCACTCCAGGGGAGACTTCTTCATTCAAAGATAGTGACGCTGAAGGATGTAGTGGACCTGGCAGGGTCGGACTTTTAAAATGTGAGGAGGTTTGCTGTCTCTGTGGGCCTCAGGTCTCTTCGCGTGGCTGCACAGCTCTTGGAGAAATGGCGTACCACATGCACTACGGATGAACTCGGGCTTCTTGGAGATTATTGCTCTGGATTGGGGCATCCAGATGTGTTCGACGACTTCCCTGGGATGGTCATTTCACCCATTTTGGATGAAGGTGCCGGTCTTCTCCTATCAGGCATAACTACAGTCGAGTTGAGTGCTGCCACTGGGAAAAGGTTTTATCAGGCTTGTGTGAAAGTGTTCAATAAAAAGTGTTTCATGAGTAGGGTTGACACACCCTGGCGTTCTGTTTTAAAATTAAGTGTGGATGTAAAACCTGAATGGAGAGCGCTTTACAAACCACCATTGCCTAAGAGGGTGGGAGATCTGCAGTGGAGACTCCTTCATGGGGCGATTGCTGTTAATGCTTTTGTCTCTTTTTTAAATCCAACCGTTGTTCGAGACTGTCCCTTCTGTTCTAAGAGGGAAACTGTGTTTCATGCTTTTTTGCACTGCTTGAGGCTGGGGCCACTGTTTACTTATTGGAATGTTTGTTTAATTGTTTTAATGAGGATTTCTTTTTCTTTTATTCTTAGTTTCAGATATCGAAAACAAAGACAAAACGAATGTATACTGTTGAATTTTATCTTAGGGGAAGCTAAAATGGCTATTTATGTTAGAAAAAACAGAATTGAAAAACAACCTGGAGATAATGCATTGACCTTGTTCCATGCTCTGGTGAAGGGTAGGGTCTTAATTGATTTTCGTTTTTATAAACTGATGCAAAATCTAGAGACCTTTAAAGCTGTGTGGTGCTGTGGGCAGGTACTGTTATTGATGACGATTTGCACTTTAGTTTTTAGTCAATTTATGTAGTTTTTTCTCTTTTCTTGTCCCAGTCAGCCACATTTTGGGAGAATTGGTGGAAAAAATCGCTAGCAATAACATTTGCAAGTTTAACATAAATCGTTCCCGTCTCCTTGATGGAGTTATACGGGGTTTAGAAGGTTTACATTCAACCCATGTAATAGATTGCGTGTGAAGTTCTCAGATGACAAGGGGACAACAGAAGAAGCCATAGACCTTGGTGGGCCAAGGAGAGAGTTTCTTCGACTTCTCATGGAGGCCCTCTCACAATCTGAAATGTTTGAGGGACACGAGGGTCATCTTCACTTAGCTCTGGATTTCAAGGGTGTGTATACCATTATTTGGTAATGTAGAGAAAAATGTAACTGTTTAAGCTACTGCTAGAATGGCCATACTTTCTAAGTGATCTACTGTACTTGCTTTTCTCCCTTTAGCTGTACGTGAGGACAGGTACTTTTATGCTGGTACAGCCATCGCTGTCAGTTTGGTACATGGAGGCCCGCCACCTTGTTTCCTATCAAATGCACTCTTCACGTGCATTGCAGAGGGACCAGACATGTGCAAACCAGAACTTGGTGACATTACAGACGGCGATCTACATGAAAAGTTAATACAGGTCAGTTGCATCAGATGCGTTACAGCGGAAAGATCTGGACCTGACTGCAGCCTTCAGAATTGTTGAAGGGGTTCTACAGACACTGGAGCGTTGCAGATCAGAAGAAGAATTTGAGGAAATGTATAGGAAAGGCACAGAAAAGGCTGCATCTGTGGGGCTCAAATCCCCTGAAGAAGTCAGTGGACACACAAGGAAGAGGAAAGTGCCAGCAAAGTTTTCTGTGGTTGGTACAGGCGCTTCTGATGACCATGTTTTCTGTACCTTGAGGGAGTCCTACCGTGCACAGGTATATTAGGTTTTTGTTGACTCCATTACACAAGAGCTTCAGAAACGGTTTAAGGGAGGAGATAATGCTACCTGGGAAATATTAAACGCCTCCACTGCCTTACTGTCCCAGAAAACTGGACCAATGCAACAGTTCCTCCAAAAGCACCTCAACCTCTAAAGATGCTCCGCCAGTTTTATTAAATTGATGATGAAGAAAAATTGCAGACAGAGCTGAAGGTTTTTCACAGATCATATTTGGACTTTTCATCTTTCACTGTGTCATCAATGCTGTCTGTCATCAAAGAAAACAATGCTGATCTAGTTTTTCCCAACATGACTGGACTATTAATGACAAATTTATGTATGTACCTATTTTAGGAACTCTTGAGTCATTGTTTACTAACAAAGAACTAAGTATTTGCTTTCAACAAGTAAAGTGCCATAAGATGGGCTCTATAGAGACATCAGTGATGGTTCCTATTTCAGAAATCACTCATTATTTTCAGAGCAAGAACATGCACTCCAAATACAGTTTTACTATGAAGATTTGGAAACGGCAAATCCACTGGGACCCAAAAAGGGGTTCACATAAACTTGGCTGTATTTATTTTATTTTAAGAAACTTACCAGCTAAACTAAATTCAGTTTTGATGAACATT